CGCAAGCCGAAATAACAAAAATTCGTCGATAAAGTTAAATGCGTGCAGCTGCGTGATGCCTACATTTCCTTAAACCGATCGGAATCTACTAAACGGCGTTCAAAATATTTCCCTCAAAATTACATTTCCTGTGAATTTGAACCGATTCGGACCGATAGATTTTGAGAAATTTTGAAAAATCTTAAAAAATAAGAAATATTTTTTTTTAAGTGGTTTCTTTATCGATCAACTTCAAAAACTAATCCGCCTTTGAGCTTGAAAAACCACGTCGATCGCCACCAAGCTGGTCAAAAGCGGTTGATTCGTTCGAGAGATATCGTACATGAAAGAAACCCGAAAAAGTGTTTTTCGGGATTACTCCGAAATTTGTGGTTCGATCAATTAAAATTGCAAAATTACTTATGAGAATGATAAAACTGCGTCGAATGCCGCCAACCGCGTGAAAATTGCTTGATCCATTCAAAAGTTATTGCGGTTTGAAAATTCCAAAAATAGTGTTCTATGAAACTTCTATCAGACTTTCGAGCTGGGAGAGCTCAAATGCATAGAAATGTTATTTCTTTGAACTCAGCGAGCTCAAAATATCAATTTTAAGCGCCCAGGAATGGAATTAGCGGGAAGTTGCAGGGATGGCCCTTTAGGTGAACCGTTTTTCTATTTTTTTTTGTCAGATCAGGCGAATCCCTCTAGATAATCGTCAGATTATGAGACAGTACGTTTAGAACATAAAGATGAACCACATATATCTTAATCTGACGCGCTTGAGTATTTCAAAATTGCGATTTTTTTTGCAAATTAAGAAAATGGCTGTGGGTTTGCGTCCCATCGAAATCGTCAGATTAGTGAATGAGAGATTTTTTTGGTGCACTTAACACTCCCTTAGAAAATCTGACGCGCTCGATAAATTTTTTTTTTTTCATTTTCAACCCTTAAATACAACCACCCGCATCATGCAAACGATCAGATTAACATACGTACATTATTAAAAATACGTAGGGCATAGATGCTATCAATATCTGACGCGCTCGAGGATGTCCATGCAACAGTTTTTTTTACATATTTAACTATCTATAGCCGCTTTCCCCACCGATGAAAAGGAATTTATCATATAACATTTTTTTCTTCTTTTTATCTAAGCTTTGTATCCCAATAGGTCTCTACGACGCTCGAGTAAATCCCCATTTAGCATCCCCCTCCATAATAAGAACTTGCCATAATTGCATCATATCATCAAGTATTTGTCTTTTTTCATCACAGCGTTAACTCAATTTCAGAGAAAAAGATGAAAGAGTACTTTAGTGAAGAGTGCGGACTAATTTAGTTTTTATGAATATGGGGTATATAAAATAATTAATTTTTGAGTGTGATTTATTAAACAAAACGAAAAAGAGACAGCAAATTCCTTTAGTGGACATACATAAAATATTGTAGTATTGAAAACTAAACTACAAAAAAAATACGGTACATAATATATCATCTGTATTCATAAAGTACCTAACGTATTTTTAATAACTTTAAGTTCTAAAAGAATGGTTCTAGAAAGATTATCTTATGCTTAAAGGATGCCGCAGGGGGAAGGGGGAGGTTATAGGTAGCTTCTCCCCCCACCCGACCTAGAGAATTGAATCGTTGTTTTTTGATTAATTTGTCATAATTAATTATTATTTATTATCTTGGCAAACGGCGACACTCTTCATCTGTTTGCCTTTTAACAAAATTGTCATAATATCTTAACTAGACTTTAATAAACTGTACAATGTTTTAAAAGACAAAGGAAAACCTTTACACACAAAAATAAAACAAACAATTCACTATAAAAATCACAGTCGTTTATTAATAATCCATAAATACTGGTAATTAAGATACCGACGAAGAGAATTATGAAAGATAGCATAATTAAAATTTAACTATTACAACTAGAATGTAGTGAACCGCGAATAAGATATGTACGCCTGCCATTTCTTGCTCTTAGTCTGTCAAAATCGAAACCTTATTTGCGAGAAACAGAACGTATTAAACTTGAATAGCTCTTAATGTATTGCAAAGGCGAAAAACATTTATAACGTGTATTATATACTTCATAAGTGAAAAATGTAACTCCTTCACTTATATAAGAATTATAAAATTCATACACTAAAGCTTAGGTTCCTAGAAAAGCGGTGCCGTTATCTAACGGCCGTAATGTAACGTTGGGTGACGTCACCTATACGTTGTCTATAACATCGGAATAGGTTTTCTAGAGAACGTTGAGTGTCACCGTAACGTCAAATAGCGGTGCTGTCATTTGCATGACGGCCGTCATAGCGGTGATAAACATTAGTGCAACGTTTTTCGCATGTAGCGGTGCCCATATTTAATAAGTACAATGAGTGGAAACGTGACTTGGACGAGTGAAAATGATTTATTTTTTTGGATTAGGCTAAAAAGTAAAGACGGCCGTTATTAACAACCGTAAAATGACGGCCGTTAGTTAACGACACTCATCAATCTTGTATTATATCACAAATATACTTGCATTTTTCCTACATTATTCACTAAAAACAGAACCTGGCCTATATTGACGTCTTAATGAACTAATTAAACATGCAAACGTAATAATCACGTGACTCAAGCCAAGCGATGAAATCAAAAACCCCGTTCCATTAACAAGGTTTTTGACGATTTTAATAACCAATACAAATACTTATTTCAGTAAGATAATATCGTATTATGACCATTTTATAGGTCAGAGACGATGTAAGTGGTAAATAGATATATGTCCAAAGAGCAGGACAAAGTCACTTCCTAGTACAAAATCTGATTAATTTAAAGAAAGAGCCTTTTGACAGTGTGAATATCCATGGATATCACTAAACATCAAGTAAAGGCCCAGTTCTATACAAAAACAACCGGTACTTCGTATGTGTTAACTCATGGTAGGCTCCCTAATATTGTAAGACAAAATAAAACTATAAATAATCAAAACACGACACTGGCACCCTATTTCATAACTACATTGAACATATAAGAAACCAAATATCACATAGTACGTAACCGGCCTTATTATAAATCTTAAACTACGTACCATTGTTACCATGGTAACCATTTTACTTGGAAGAAATATGGTATAACACATATGGTATGCGTCCATGTTTTATAATAAGTCCGATTTTATAATAAAGTTAAAATACCAATTATTATACCTAACAAAAATACAGAGTATTAAATTCTAAATTGGTAAATACATTTAGAGAAATGTAGTCGAAGTGATATTTAAACTAATACGTAACTAAAGCAATAATACAAATATTTTTACTATTGTCATATATTATTACTAATTATAATATTATTTTTGCAATTTTCATTTATGATTTAAGGGTAAGGTTTAGAAACGAGACTTAACGTATGACTCTGAAAACTGTATTAGATTTTGACATATGGGAATCGTAGCTGTATGACGCTAGTATGTCAAAAACGTAGTTTTGACTTGCGGTAGTTATACTTAGCGTTAAGTCTCGACTCTGAGTATATAGTCTATAGATATTGATTAAATAGACTTCATAACATTTTTCTATAGCTGTTCGCGCACTAAGCGTTACTGAACAGACAAACTACTGCCCTAACTTTTGTACTAACTTAATCAAGAAATCTGAGCCCTCACTCTGTAACTTCCAATAGCGAAAGCGATACCGACCCCTACATTTTGTATGCAAGTTTAATATAGTTCTCTCAATATCCGTTCTAACCTTTAGATAACGCGGAACAAAAACCTATCATTTAGACAGGATAGCTATTGGAAGTTATAGAGTAAGGGCTTAGGAAAAAAATCACTTTTCGACAGCCATGACCCAGTGGTTCTCATAAAAATGGTCACGTGACAAAGCGTGAGTAGTCTTTCCCTTACAAATTCTTTTAGAGTTAGTTAGTGGGTAGCGGCCGTCGAGAAGTGATTTTGTCTCAAGCCCTGGTCTTAATACGAGAAATATATGATATTATAACTTCTATGATATTTTGTGACGGTTGTGATGAATTACAACAAATGTAGTACATACTAAAACAAATGCAAACAAATATTAGGTTGTTTATCACACAAGGCTAAAAGTTTAACACATTAAAGCACTAATGTGACTTAAAAGATGTCTAGAAAGGATTAATTTCTCTTATAGTTTCTTTCTAGTTCCTATTCATATAAAAATTGAGTGAAAGATCTAATACAAGTGCAGACTAATAAAAATCTTCTAAAGACGAGATATAAGAAATATGGAAACGCAATTCGTATATTAGTAACAGACTAAAATTTCATAGAGAATTGGTTTCTATTGTTTATTCTAAAGCACATAAAAAAAATACAAGGCCAATTGTTATCGGATTTACACATCTTAGCCTAATAAATCTTTCATCACATCTTATCTACTCAGGTGAAAAGAGACAAAACATATACGTACGTACGTGTACTCACTGGCATTGTTACGAACTGGTCACTGGTCACATGACCGAGCGTGACCTTCAATGGCAACGAACTTTAAAGGATTAATACTATTGATTTGCCAAATACCTATTGTACTATGTTAAAGTAATAGTGAAGTATATTTATGAAGCTGAAGGAAAAAAATATAGCTCAATGTGTTAATATAAATTCATACAATAACGTGATTTTGACAGACTGAGACAAAGATACCATTAAACGTACGTAAACATCTACGAATGCAATGATTACATGAACATAATATCAATATTTAACTTAAAATTAAGTCATGGGCCCGATCATCTATAAAATCTTAACCTAATTACTTATAAACCATCGACTAAGTCGAACTGCATACTATAAAGCTAATTATTTCGAAAACTACATATAAACCTACGTCGACCACTAATTGCGCCGGCGTAAACAATAAAACTGACAGCTGTCAGCCGACATGTCATCTGTCAGATGACAATTGTCAGTTTCAACTGACACGGCAGTGTTGCTAACTCGATAAAATGGAAAGAATTATCACCGTAAATACAAAGCGGTTTGTGCTCTACTGCATCATTTTTAACTTGAATCTTAGAACTAGATAGGAGATTATTCTAATACCGATAAAGAACACGGTGAGAGCACCGATGTCTACCCAAAAGTTTGCGTCATTCATGCTCATATATTTGAGGAATTGGCTCGGCTTTCGGTAATGGCAGAAGTCGATGGAGCATTTGAGTTTTTCTCTGTCGTAGCCATATACGGATAGCATTGCTCCTTCGAATCCGTATCGAATGTAACTGACATATGTGAGCCAAGATAAGTATTCGGGAACGGCGTCAAAATTGATAAAGAAACCTGAGAATAGGACCACTGGGATTGTAGTCACGGGCCCGAGATAGACCCCCGTTTCAATCTTCATAGCGGCTCCAATGAGAAGGCCTAGGGACTGGGCGACCAGCGCCGTGAGGATATTAACGGCCGCGAACTTTAATATCCGATCCAACTCCATCGGCTGACTCGTCATAAAGTACACGATTATTACGTAGACGCCGCTAAACACGATCTGAAATTTAATTGTGTGGTTAAAAGTTGGGGAAATAAAATTAAAGTAAAAATCATGTATCATGTTTCTTTTTTTTTAGTTTTTCTCTTTAACTAGGGTTGCCTGGAAGAGATCGCTTATTAGCGATAAGGCCGCCCGTTGCATCCCTTATAATTTTTATGTATTGTGTTTCTTTTATTTGCAACGAAGTGTAAATAAATAAAAAAAATAACCATTGACAATAAGGTTTTAATTTAGATATTAAAAACGTACTTCTTATTTTATTATTGTGTCTATTTTAAGATTGTCTATTCTTCTTAGGCTTGAAACTATATAAATGTACAATTGTTCAGTATCTATTTCATAATCTTAAACATCAAATCTTTATTATTTAATTTTTCAATACCCATTTATAAACTATGCCAAAAATCGTACACAAGAACAGAGTGTCTTTTTCTTAATAGAGACTGATGGTAGTTTTATTGGACACTTTCTTGTGTTCATATCCTTTTATACCTTAAGTAAGACTAGATCGTAATGTTAAATGATGACTGTGCAAGAAAAAATTAAAAAAACTAAACAAATCACACACATACAAGATTATTGATATCAGGAAAAACAATAAAAAAAAGCATACCTGAAAAGGCAAGTCCGCTATCGTCTTAGCGAAGTAGAACGCTTTGAGTGAATACCAATAATTCAGGTGCTCCCTCACAAACACACTCATCTCCATTGGGACTGAAATACAAATTGGAAGTTTAACTACTGTATTCTGTAGTATAATAGACAGTTATATCTTTCACTAGCCGTCTCATGAACTTCCTTTTACCATAATATTATTTCTTTACCTAACCGTTTTCTTTGTTCAAGGAAAAAATACTAGAATTGGGCCAGCCTTTGAGTTTTCGCCACATATTTTGCGATTCATTTTTATTTACTAGTAAAAAATTGAAGTAAATTAAATTTGTTGAAAATCGTGGTGAGAAGTGTCTGCCTCCTGACCTGTTATGGGAATTCAAAATAACACAAAAACCCGTGACTTTTTAAAGATCTATTAGAAGATTTTAATATCACCACGGCTTCAGCTATGAAGAAAGTGTACTTTTTTTTTATAAACTACTAGCAGACCGGCCAAGGTTTTTGTTATATTACATAGTAGCAAACTATTCAAGGGAAACGGTAGGAGAACACCAGTCTTGGGGACCACCATGCTTTTTTGGTGGTTATGCCATTAAATTGTAGCTTATGTGAAACGTTGGTACTTTCAACACAGCGCCATCTGTTAGAATTGTGACTATCAAATAATAAACAAATATTTTGCAATAAAATAATATTGCGGGTATAAATTGAGATGTAAGCTATCCTATCTTTTAAGTTGGATCAAACTACACACGGTGTGAAAATTTGATTGATATCGGTTCGGTAGTTTATGAGTCCATAGCGGACAAACAACGTGACACTTAATTTATATATATTAAGATTTAGTTTAACTAAAACTAACGGTATATGTTAAAATAGTAGTAGGTCTATCGAAATATGTCTTCATAGAGTCTACGCGGAAATAGACCGTCAACGTGGGATTTGAGATCAGAGATTTTACGCTATTATAGTTCGGAATTAAAAAATTATTCTATATAATTTTTGTAATAATTTATACTGTGCATGCATTAATTCGCGTAACTGCCACGCCGATTCTCTTTCTCTGTAAGAAGATAATATACTTACATGTTAAAATAGTAGGCATCATAGCAGTAAACATTGTAAACATCACAGTGAAGAAAATACATCCAGCATTGCTCTGTACATTTGCAGCATCCATTCCAATATCATAATACAGCATTCCAATAAGCAAGCCGACGACTGTATGCGAAATTAGCCTTAAATGTGTGAGTGTTGGATCTCTTATAATGCTCTTGAAAGATGATGTCTTTTAAATGGTGGCCTCCAGAGTTAATGCACATTTGAGCCCTATTTATGACATTTTGCATTACTTGCCGTAATACTTTCTGCGATATGTTCCTTATTTCTTGATGAATGTTTTTTTTAGAGCTGCGAGAGTCTGTGGCTTGTTCACATATACCCGAGATGCAAAAAACCCCAAAGAAAGAAGTCTGGACTCGTCAGATCGGGTGATCTTGGAGGAAATCGTCGACGAAATTCACGTTGTGTTTTTATCACTGATGAATTATTCCGTAATATTATTATTATTTTGTTCACTACACAATTTTCAACAACAGAATGAAAACTATCGTCATATAAAAAAATAAACAAATTTTCTTTAGTGCCAGTACTTTGCGCCACCCGTTACTAATTGAGATATCAATATAATTTGCCACCAAGGAGTGAAAATCAATTTTATCTTCCACATTAGGTGAGTAAGGGAAATGAAGACAAATGGATGAAGGAATTCCCTTCGTGGCTATTATCAAGGCTTCGCTAAATACAAATGGTAGCGCAGTTAATACGCGGTCAATCTGTGCATGAAGCCTCAATGTGTGTCCGTTCCCTTGGTAAATTTTTCTTTATTTTTCATATGGGATCACTTTTGACACACGTAATCTATGTTCATTATTTACGTGTGAAGATTAGAGTCTAAAGTTTTTAAAAATTGACTTAATGTACTAATTTTGAAAAATGTATTATTCTAGTAATGATAATATTAATTTTTATCAAATAATATAAAAACTGACTCATATATGTGTAAATTACATGTAAAATTCCTTTAAAGACAAATTTGCACGCCATTATGTGTGACAGAATATGCGAACTTTAGATTGTACCACCATATTATTTTTGTACCATATTCTTGCAAATAAAATATTATTATTATTATGACTTGCCAGATAACCGTTCAAGATTTTCCTCAGTCGCTTAAATTCAAACATATCATCGTTGCACAGGAAACAAACGCTTCGTGCGTTGAGGGTTGAAAATGCCCAACCACTAGAATATCGCTATTCTGTAGCTATACATTAATAATACTATAGCTTAATAAAAATGATATCATATATTATAAATACCTGCCCATCTTTCATATTTTTACATTCAAGTGTCTCAGTAGTCGGGGTTAGTGAAAGACATTTGAAAAAGAATTTCATGTAAATATGTAGTCCTGGCGTAGGTCAAAGTAAATAACTCTGTGAAAGTATCATCAATTTATTCGTCAAACTTTTATAAATAAACAAAGATTTTTGAAATAATTGAAACTTAACGGCGCAACATAAACTCCGTAGGCATTAAGTCTCCGTAGACTAAGATCTAAGATATTCCTAAGTAATACAAACGACGATAAAGCTAACTGGAGCCGTAATAAAAACACTCGTACAATAAAAGCTGGATTTATAAGCTTGTAACAGTAAACTTTATAAATACGAGAGATAAGAGCTCGTAAAAAGCTTGCTAGTTTGAACTTTGAAATAATATTGAAAGGCACATCTTGCTGCGCATACCGCGTTTGAATTTGAATTTATTTCTTAAGGCACTTTTACCGCTACCGTATTACCGAACTCTTCATTCCTTCCAATCTTTAATAGACCAACAACGCACTTCCGATCTTTCTGACATTGTGAGTGTTCATGACGGTTTTACTTTACATAAAACAGAGGCTGCCGGTTCACTCTGTTCTGTAAAAAAGTATCCATATTTGCGGGTCTTCTTGGGGTGCTCTGTTTCCATGCCTTTTACAACTTATGTATGTGCAATGTATTGCACTCGAATAAAAATATATTACAAACGGCTCTAAATAATTATTATCAACCTATTATCTTAAAGAGTGAAATATGATTCGTATTATACAAAATAGTAATTCGCGTTATACTTCCCGGTGGTAAAAATGCATTGTTTTAATTGCTAATATACTTGACCTCTCTCAAGAGTCGTATGTAAATTAAAAATCAAAGTTTATAAAGTCAACTCGACAAATAGAACCCTTTGTATGAGTAATATGAAAAGTTTTGCTAAGCACTAAATGGAATAAAACCGTGAAACGAACTCATGCCAAGTGCATATTATAAAAGAAACGCAATCCGTTAAAAGGTTTTCGTGGAAATGTATAATGGCCGCTAAGGGAATATCTACATCTATCAATATTCGTTTCGCTTACCCTCGTATAATTGTAGGAAATAATATATGGAGGACAAAGTTAAGGTTCACTCGAATGTAATTATGCCTTAGTTATAAATTTTATAATTTAATCTTGTTTTATTAATAATAATAAGAATGTCTCGCAAAGAATATACAATAAAGTAAAGTATGCGTTTAAGTTGTTTGTTGTTGTTAAATATTTTAATTATTTTATTTTATTGAACACAAGCCGATACCATACAATTTAAAATTTACATTATACGAAGTGCAACAAATGGCTCTATTTTTAAACAATCTCTGACTATAATAACAGTAAAAAATTGCAACAATTACGATAGCAGTGAATCTGCAGCCGTGACCTCCCAGTTTCAGAAAAGTTTCCCAATATTTCGTAAAACTACGTAAACTAAAGTATTGAGAATCCGAGAGGTAAATTTATTGTATACTACCCACAATAAACTCGATTATATTATATTTTATTTGATACGAATACTTATTGAAACTATCGATAAGGACTATGGGTACAGCTCAGTTTTAAGGCATTAAAAATATATATATCAAGATATTCCTGTTGATTTTTTCTTTCGAAAAGATGTATTTATTCCCCTTCAATGTACTTAATACCAGCAACTTGAGTCGATCATGCTCAGGCGAATGTGGTTTTCAGATCGTTAGCAACTCAATGGTCAACTATTCTTAGTTTTTATTCAATAGTTTGTACAAACATAAATAAAGTTTGTATGCGTAGTTAAAAGTTTTATTTAGTTCTGTTTGAGTTTTCGTTAGTCAATGTACGAGTAATTGGTGTCAAACTGTCACAGTATAAATAAAAAGCCAGCGTATAGTCGTTAGTTGATAATATTTCTTAGTAAAGAACATTAATTTAATGTTTTCTTGTTAGGCGAAAATGTATAGCGAAGTTTCCCTTCTAAAATTAATTGACATCTTTCGAAGTTGAAAGTGTCGTATATCAAGGGCATAGAAAATCGTATTGGCGGGTTCTTGACCGCTATAAACGTCAGTCAAGCATCACGGAGAAATTTCGTACGGTAGCAATGACAAGGTCTAAGTCAATTTATAATGCAATCGGTATGTGAACACTTTCAATAAAATGATAGTGTGTTTTCCCATCCTTCATCTTTATTTGGTGACTTTTATAAATCATTTATTCATTTATACACTTATCCACATATACGATACGCCTCATAAGTATATTCTTCATAATTCTTATAATTTTGCGATACTGTCCGCTATGAAAGAAAATCTTAAAGTTTACGTATTTTACATATTCAAATATTATTTTTACTTCCGACATACGAATTTCTTTTTCATATCAAATATAAACTTGAAAACTGTGATTGTTATTCCGAATGTTCCCCTAACGATAATGACCCACAATATGTCAGATATCTGGATGACTAATCTCATAATCATATCAACATTTGCGAGGTCGATTGACGATTTAATGCATGGATTCCCTTTAAATACCAGAACCATGACAAAATCAAGACCAAAATATATTTCATAATAATAACAATAAATAACATTGCCATAATTTTGTGACAAGAGGGAGCAATTAACTAAATTATTCTATTGGCTAAATATTTAATATGGCATCATTATTTTTGGAGCTTGTCATAACGACTGGCAATTTATGCGAATATGATTAAGGTTGCTAGTAATAAATTTAAATATAATTTTGACTGTAAACAAGCTTTATTTACTGGGATAATAAATATGACTAGTTTGTATTTTTAAATTGGACTTTTGTAATTATTTTTTTCATATTTTTAAACTCAAATTCAACTCTATTTTTTTTTATTATAATATTATCTTGCAATCAGTCAGCTAGACTATGAGCAGATGTGTTGAGAGCTGTTAGGCGTTCAGAGCAAAATCTCCATCGAGACTGCTCCTCTCTTTCAACCGTGTCTATCAAGACTTAGGATTTGTCGCCTTTTAAGCCTATTTATTAGGTCCGGTGTGGTTAGTTGCGTGGCAAGCTTATTAGGATGAATTTCTACCTTTTTCTGTATTTCATACTCCAGGTCTTGATCTCCCTCTATTTTATATACGTTTTATAATTGTGTGTTTAACTAAGTGTTTCTACCTAACCTAATTACTTCTCCCTGCAGCCATTAAAAATGTCAACTGTTCAATTATATAATAATTATTGCGGGTGTGCAAATTGCCAAAAATCCAAGTAGAGGTTCGTGCTTAACCAGTGTACTACAGTTAAAAAGTTGATGCCGAAATTTTTCACTGACCAAAGTAATCCTGAAGTCTGAGTCGCAGGTGTGCGCTGGAAATCTTACTACGAGCGCAAACTTGTTCGAAAGATGAAGGAAACCATGGTACCAATCCAAAGAAGACAGATCACTAGCCTACTATATGAACAGTCATACAGAATCCTAAGGCCAAGACTATACCCTACACTCGGTTGAACATTTCAGTATCTGCATATATGTTGAATATTTTATTACTTAAATACCAAACATACATACTTTTACCACTGAGCGACTGAAAACGAAAGTCTTAAAAATAACAAGATCAAGAGCAAGTCACGTCGGTTTTTCTAATACGACTTGATTATTCTGTATCGGAGGAGTTTATCTTACTTGGATAAATTCTTTGAAAAATTCACCCCATGTTTGAGTCGCTGCTGTAATAGGGCTCGGTTGTCTTTGTTAACACTCAAGGATTTTGCATTTGGCGCCTTTAGACGTCGCGATATCACGACATTTTATAGATCATACACCAAAACATGTAAATTATATTAAGATCTGTTTACTTATCTAATATATAAAATTCTCGTGTCGCGGTGTTTGTGGTTAAACTCCTCCGAAACGGCTCGACCGATTCTCATGAAATTTTGTGTGCATATTGGGTATGTCTGAGAATCGGACAACATCTATTTTTTTATCCCCTAAATGTTAAGGGTAGTCCACCCCTAATTTTGTTTTTTAATTTAGGTAAAAAATATTCTTTATTTTTTTATGATACAGCATTAAAAATACATACAACCCCTAATTTTCACCCCTCTACGATCAACCCCTATTTTTATTATAAATGATAAACATGGCAAAACGACGTTTGCCGGATCAGCTGGTATTTATTATATTTATGTTTAATAAACGACTTTTCGTTTCTAATTTGCGCAGTCTTGACTTTGCATATCACTCTAACTTGTGTAAAATAATCAAAGAAATTGAGCGAAATGTACTCTATTGAATTATTAATTAAAACTTCTCGACTTGGAGAAATATTTATGCTAAATTGTTAGGCTATATGTATATATTGAGTTTATTAAACATATAATAGTATGTTAAACAATTTTTTGCAACTGTTAACTTAGGTTAAGACGAATATTTTGTAAAGAACTTGAAATCATTGGTCACAAAGTACCATTGCAGATTAGAGTAGTGTTTCCCAACGTTGGCCACGCCCCACAATGGGGCAATTTGATAGTTAAATGAGTAAGGTAAGTAAGAAGGAGTAAGGAAGTTATTCGAAAATGTATGTTTTTTTTAATTATTTGTAATTTCAGTTTTGTAATTTCTTCCTAAAACATATCATTTAAGTTTCTTAAGTGAGCAATTCAATTTTAGATATTAAAAATAATGTGTGTAATGTAAATTATGTCACAAAATCAGATAAAAGCCAAGAGGCTGTTTTCAGATGGTTAAAAAAATATATGTTACATGGGGGTCATAAGAATTTAAGAATGGCTAAGGTGGGGCATGTCACAAGAAAGGTTGGAAACTGGGTTAGAGAATTACATGCTTAACCATTATACTGTTCCATTTCGTCGGTTTGGTATAATTTCATATACACGATATAAAATCGTAAGAAAATATAATCGTATGGCGTTAAAACCTTCTTATCATCAGTATCCATCAAGCGCGATGACATCTCGCATACAAATTCAGGCCTAGCTGTTATCAATTCTAAGATACAATTTAGATCTGACGACATGACATTAATATTATTAAGAAACTGTTAATCTCGCTTGTCTGTTATTATATATTTAATAATATCCCGTTTACTTTTTAGAAAGGAAGGCGTAGTTACCTAATATGTTAGTATATTATTTTGTTTTGTTTGGGATTTTAATCCATTCCACAATAAAATATTTAGTAAGATACTAAATATTGCGGTATTAATATAGAACTGAACTGAACTGGGGACAAGGAAAATTGTCACGTTAAACAAAAGCCTGTGTACAAAAATTAATCAAAATTTTATTATTTGTGGTAAAAACATAACAAAACAGAAAACAATTGGTACTATATCCTTAATGCCCAGATTTGTGTCCCCAGTGCTTATGGTCTTCGTGTCCACCCTTTTGTCGTGGTCGTGGTGATGGTGCCAATGCTCATGATGACCGCCTTCACCGTGGTGACCCTTGTGGTCATGATGATGTCCTCCTTCTCATGGTGACCCTTCTTACCATGGTGGTGCTCATGGTGTCCGCCGTGCTTGTGACCCTTGTGAAACTCACCTCCCTTCTTGTAACCACCCTCTTCGTGGTGACCTCCGTGGTGCTCGTGATGCCCCTTCTTTCCGTGATGATCATGGAAGTGTTTATCCTT